GGGCATAACAGCACCTAAGGCAATGGATTGGCTGGCGGGCTACTTCAGTCCTGGATATTTTCGGGGTCTGATAAGATTTGTTGCTTCTGACTTACCGAATTACTAAGCCACCAGGGTCTGCCAATGTTTGTGGGCTTCCTTGTGTTTAAAACGATTATCAATTGTAACCAAACTGCACATTGTTTACACTCATTTCTGTTTTCATAGGATATTGACTCTTAGAAGGAGAAACAATATAGTATCTCTTTTGGTTATGCCTGGGTTCCCGAATGCGCTTTCTGGTTAAGTTTTTCTTTGCAGAACTGAGAGACATATTTAATTCACTGATTTTACCCGTACTTAGTTTTCTGAACCCTACAGTGGGCACTTATGCAAATATTTGTTTTCATTTTATTTTATAAAATTTTCTTTTACTTTATCTTTATTTTATTTCATTTCATCCCTATTTAATTTTAATTTCATTTTATTTTATTTTGCTTTACATTATTTTATTTCATTTTCGTTTATTTTATTCTTTACTGTCTAGAATTTTTTCTCTTATTTACACTCCAACAAACAATAACATATGACTAATTTCTATTAAGTATTTGTCCGACAGCACTAAAAATTGATGCTTTGCTACTCTGGCGGAGCGTCTTTAGCACCCTGCCTAATATTTGTTACCCATGTCGCTACTCATATTCGTGCTGATTCTTCACGATTGCCTTACTGACTGCTTTTTAAATTTTGACCTACTAACCGTGCGCTTTTACATACATAATTCTCCGTTTTTTACAATCATGTGATGTTTATTTTTGCTTTTTGCTTTCATCTCAAATTTGCACAAACATATGTATGTACACATATACTCATTGATGTATGTAGTGCGCGAAATCTAAATACATAAATTTTCTGCTTGGACCGACCGCTTTTCGATTGACTAATACGCTTTCTGTTGAACAAAGAATGGAATATTTGTATTTGTGTGGTTCGTTCATTCATTAATGAAATTGTTTGAAAATAGGTCTTAATTAATTATGCATGCACATAAATTTTGATAAGAACAAGAGTTGAATAGAGCTGAGTAAAGTGACACAGAAAAACAGCATCCAGAGGTACATAAGTATTAAGCTAAGATGTTTTTTTTTTCAGAGATGAAATCTGAGTCATTGCAGGGTCAGTAAACTCATGTGCGTGTACATAACTACATACAGCTGTTTATATGTGCATGGATTATTTAAGTATAGATAACTTTCCATTGTATGTAGTACAAAAACGGCACTTTAGGCAATTAGGTGCAGGCCCATCGTTCGCTTGTTTGCATTGCGACCGCAAAAAGGAAATGGAAAACATATAAAACTATATTGTGAAAATTTTACTTAACTTAGTTTAAGATATTTCCTGTATAGATTAAAGGATTTTTAACCCCCGAACTAAATTAACTTTTCGAAAAATGGAGTGAGTATTTAAAAGACAGTTTTTAGAAAATGGCCAATTAAAAATGGCCAATACAAAATTCAAGTTTGTAAGGGTGTACATTAGGGCGGGTAAATTATTTTGACTATGCGCGTGTAGCATAGGAGTATTCTGCGTGTAATTCTAAGCAAATTCGGCAACTTTCTCTCGAAGAAAAATTTGAAAACTAAGGTGTCAGGAACGTTTTGAGAATGAAACGGGAGTATCTAAATCTTCTGGGATTTATTTGCGAAAAATGGATGCGAAAACCAATTTTTCCCTTGGCGCTGTGTTAGTTTAAAATATTTGAATATTAAAACTGATGAAAAAAAGAACAGAAAATGGACAGGTCACCCTAATGATAAACCATATGGAAGTTGAATCGATCCAGCTTTCCGTTGGATTCTCATTGAAACGGATTTTCATTCCAACTCCCAGACGTCCTTCTCATTTTATTCTCTAGCTCATCGTTCCCCAGACTTTTGTCCCTATTTGGCCCACCTTGAAAAAGTTCTAACCACTTTCGTTCTCATTTCATTCTTATTGGAAACGTTCCCGACAGTTTTGTTCTAATTCGGATGCTTCCAAGGAAAAATTTTATTAAAAAATAAATAAAAAAGGGTAAACGTTTCACAACATTTCCGGTACTTTTCTGGATATACATACATATGTTTCGGATGCACACTTAAATAAGTGTAAGAACGCATCCGAAAAGCTAGTGAAAATGGAAAATAATTATTTTTTTTATCGAATATGACTATTTCCCTTCAGAAGTTTTAATGCACATATATTTTTGGATAGGATTGCCATTTATCTATGTATAACAAAACATACTGTTAAATCACGCTACAAGCGGTTAAGTAGAATATGACCTTCAAACAAAAAATAATAAAATGAAGTTTTATCACCTACATATTTCTGGGTAGAGTTAGCATTTAGCTAAAAAATTAAAATAAGTGCTATATATCGTCGCTACCTTTTTTAAACTATCGAATGTGCAAAACTGCATATTGCATCATTTCACTTAACTTGCAAAATTACCTCATCTTAGTTAACAAATGGGTGCCAACCCAATTTCAAAACATGTTAGTCCAAAGCGGTGGGGGTCTGGTGGGCAGGAGAAAAAAAAAGTTTGAGCCACTCTAATGTACATATGTACATTCATGTCTACAGTGGTCGAAAAAATTATAGCCGCACTACATTTTGACAAGTTTTAACTTATATTTTTGTTGTTACTTAATTTTGGTTATTTTCTATGCATATAATAAAAATGTAACAGGCCGATATCTGTACATTATAGATATTAAAGAAAAATTAATATGGTGTGGTCTTTACTGGAGCAATAGAAGCCAAATCAACAATTTTTAGAATTTTTGTCTGTTTGTCTGTCGGAAAGCTGACTGAAAGCCTTATATCTGTTCTGAAAACATATTAATAATATCTATTCAGCAATTTAAATAAAATGCATAAATGTTTCCTGTTATTCGATATCTACTCTAAAGTAAATTGTATTCTACGCTAAGTCAATGATGAGCTTACCAAAAATTTCATATTTTTTTCCAAGGCAAATGCATTGTTGTTCTTGTACCGCAAGTGAATCCAGACACTTTTCCCATGTGACTTTTTCATTTATGGCGCCTATATATATTAACTTAAGCCAAAAAAAGACGATTGGCCTTTCCCAAATGCCAATCTTATGGCGAATTGTAAATAGTATTTATTATTATTATTTTTAAATGCGTTACAGCTGATACCTACGCAATGACATAAATCAGAATCAACAAATAGTGAAACCCATAAAATTCTATTCAATTGAAAGCTTACGGCTCATTGTTCGGGGCCAACAAAACGGCTACCACTGCTTGTGAGATGAATGTGCCGTACACATTGCGGTCAGCTGTATTCACTGCGCTGTGTGTGTTGAGCTTTTGGGACTAGTTTTTATTGTTATTGTATGTGACCGCCCATACATTCTTCAGAATATGCGCTGGCAAGAGACACCGCTATAATCTGCGAAAACGCTTTTCTAATTTTTATCTCAGTTTTTTTTCTAAATGCATGCAAATAAAAGATTATGGGACTAGGAAATGGATGAATATAGATTAACTCTCCTACTGGATTTTTATTGTGCCACAGCGGACTGTGTCAGCTTGTTACGCGCTTAGTTAGCACCTTGATTTGCTTTGCATACTCGTGCAAGCTGCTGTGTGTGCGTTCAAGCGATAAATTGGAAAGCAAACGAGTTGGTTGGTGTTGTAGTCATTGTGTGCTTGATGGTGGCATGACAACGCGACATTTGTATTAAAGCAGTTATTTTCTCGTAAGCTTATCGTTCTACCTCTTCTTATTCTTCTTCTCGGCTCATTCTCTTAGCCGTATCGATTATACGTGCGGCGACGCACTACTGCAACGATAATCAGCAGTTCTATGATGGTAACTCTGTCCAGCAACTTGTTAGAGTGGCAGCCAATGTTTTGGACTTGGCCTGAATAGCACAGCAAACGACCCGACCGAGCATGAGTAGCCTTGTACATACATATGTAGAACTTGTGTGCTCTACAGTTAATACTGCTGCTGGTTGTTGTTGTTGTTGTTGTTGTTGACGCTACTGCTTCATGCATACTTACCTACATATATGTCGCATTTCTTCCTGTTTTGCAGTGCGTTGTGGCATGCAGCACTCGTCAACATTTGTTGCCTATTTTTTGCAATCTATTTATTTTTTATTTTTTGCAGAATCAATCCTTCGTGCTTCTCAATATGGATCTTGCTTTTGTTGTTATGTTTGTAGTGTTCTGCTTTAACTGGAATTTCTAGATTGACATTCAAACGGTTTTTGCTGTGCACCAAACTAGTATAAAATAAAATATAATCCAATAGAAGCTTGTGCAGCTGAAACGCGTTTTTCAATCGAGATTCGTCGCTGCTTGAACTATGCTTCGCGCAACTCTCATCCTTTTTTGCTTTTTTTTTTCCAGTTTTTTCTAGTTCTTGTCATCGCTCTTGAACACGCTGCCACCACGTCTCGATGCCTTGTGCCGATTATAAACTCGCCACTTGTACATATTTCGCTTGACCGCTCTAAGCGAATTTTTTCCAGAATTTCTTTCCTTCGAGTTTGTCGCATGTGGCATTCGTGGTGTTGCTTAAATCTGGCCACTGAAAATTTTTGTGCGCATTCAACGATTTTGAAATGCCTTTTAATGCTATTAAATGCAATTTCTCTGTGACTGTCAATTTTTTGTTCGGGTTGCTTGATTCTTTTGATTGCGCAGAGTTTAGTGCGTTTCTTAGTGAGGTAGTCATTGCAAATGAAATATTTTACAGTGTTGCCTAGATGAACATAATTTGCAGAACTGGAATGTTTGATACATAGATACTACTCGCTCTTATCTGAATTGATTCGCGAAATGCATTATAATAGTGAAATATTCTTTGAAATACGAGTTTATTTTATACTCTTTAAAAATTTTCTACTTGATAAAATAATGATAATTCTCACCACTCATACGAGTACATTTTATTTAACAGCTATTGCAAAAATCACATTCCGAATAGATCTTTACCTTAGTTCTGAAAATAGAAAAGAAAAAAGGTTTATCAGGTGTCAGCGAGTTACAGTTATTAGAAATAGTGGTAAACAATGAGCTGAACTGTGCTATATATTCATACATTCATGAGAAAAATAATAAGGTCACGATATTTTTACCAGTTTTGACTATTTTTCTTATATTTGTTTAAGGTTTATTATTTTTTTTTATAATGGTTTAACATAAACCATATAAGTCCAAATTTCAAACTTTGTAGAAAAATTAAAAACAAACTAAAAAAAATTATAACAAAAACAAATTATGCATAATATTAGGAATTTTTGCACAAAGATAATTGTAGCTTAAGAAAGTGTAATTTTCAAGTAGCTAAAAATTCGCGTTGATTTTTGATAATTTTTTTTGAAACTTGCACTTTCTTAAGCTAGAATTTAATGGCCTATAAATGCGCATACCTAGGTTTTTTTTCTAAAAATTCTTAGGTTTGTTGGTGTTGTAAAATTTTGTTAAAATTTTCTCTTTTTTTCTACAAAGCTTGAAATTTGGACTCATATGATTTTTGTTAGATGAGGACTGTATTTTTTATAATAAAAGAATAACAAACATTAAATAAACAATAGCCAAAAAAAATTTACCTAGAAAATAAGTTTCACAGTCGGTTAACGTGGGTTGGGTTGGGCTATGCGTTAACATACTTAAAAAAAAAAAAATATATATTCCGACGAACTGATAACCTTCTTCTTTTTGGGAAGTCGGTTAAAAATTAAATGCCCTGCAATGTAGACGCCTGTGAATTGGTATGAAATTCAAATCTTCCAAATTTAATCAATACTCAAATATCTTAACAGTATAGTGCTTATCATAAAGTAGCTGTTGGACGTAAAAAAGTGCAAGTCCTTTTGAAAATTGTGCCAAACTCCAGAATTTCCAAAAGTGCTTGCGGGAGCAGTGACACCTTGCTTACATGTAACTTTCGAAAGGAAAAAATGAAAAAGTATTTTTCAAAAAAGACGAAAAAGTTTAATTTGTGAAAAAAAAAGAATTAAAACTGTTCTGAGTAGCTTTTCAATAGTTCCAGAGTTCCCGAAAAGGACAAAAAGTTGCCAAATTACAACGAATAAAGAATTTTTTCTAAAAGTGTAAAATGCTTGAAAAAAATATAAAATATAAAACTGTTCTGAGTGGCTTTTTAATAGAATTTGTGAAAAGTTATTTTTTTAATTAAACTTTCGTCTAAAAAAAACTTTTATTGTAATTTTCCTAAACTTTTTTATTTTCAGGAACTGTAGATCTATTGTAAAGCTGCTCAGCACAGTTTTAAATTTTATTTTTAGATTTTTTTGAATTTTTTTTTCGGCATAGTTTTGAGGACCTTTTTTTCTTTTCAGGAACACTAGAACTATTGAAAAGCTGCTCAGTTTTTTATTTGCCTTTTCACAACATATCATTGCTGCGTGAATCTGGAGTTTTGAAAATATTTTTATTTATTTTTTGTCAAAATATCCATATATTTTTTTTTCCTTTCCAAGAACTATAGAACTATAGAACTACATCGTCCAAATTCTTTTTTTTTTTTACTTTTGAAATTGCCATTTTCGACATTTTAACAGTTTTTTTCTCAAAGACTATGTAGAAGTGCTACAAAAACGTAAAGTATTTGATATGAGCATCAAAAGACCTCTATGAATATCTGTTTGTATATATGTACATTCATTTGTCAATGCTACCAAACCGTGCAGCAAACATAGTGGATCATAAATTGAACCAGACCTCTATCAGGATCATGTCGTTGTTGTTGCATTTGCGTGCAAATTTTTTAAGAAAACACAGCAATTATGTATATTGAAATTCATCTACAAATTTGATAATTGATCGCCAACATTTGATGAACAATCGTTTAGCTAAACCTTTCACTAAATAATACTAACAAATAGTCAAGTAAACAGACGTAAATAGAAAGTAGAATAAGTTAGCCTGAATTTCTACGCAAATACAGGAGACTTATAAAAAACGAATATCACAAAATTCAAAGTTCTGTAATCAACGTTGAACTTTCTCCTAAATTTTTCGCTTATATTAGACAACATGAAACTTAAGTAGAGCGAATACTTAGTAGAGCGAATTTTAATAATGTTTGTACATAAATGAAAAAACTTGTGATTTTATATCACTCATACGCCTTGTTGATCCGAAGCCGACAAGTGTGTGTATATGTGCTCGCGAAGAGTAAACGCTAAATAATTGCTCAAATATTTGACTAATTGCGGTTTTAGCAGCAAACCAATTTGCCATAGCTTTGAAATTAAACTTCAAGGAACGGAAAAAGCCACACGAAACACATACAATCAGATCTAAAGAAGCCGTAGAGAAGTATAAAAAAAAATCCAAAATAAAAATAAAGCGCGCAAAAGTAGAATCAAAGCCGCTCAGCAGCCACATGCAGCAGCAAAAATTAGAATGACAGCAGCAATTGAGCAAATGACATCGAAATCCACTTAGAAGCTAGTTTAGCATTTGGTAAAGACCAGAATTTATGCGCAACAATTTGTGGTTGGCTTTGCCATCGCTGCTGCTGCAGTCTATACTCTTTTCTATGATTCTACTTATGTGTACTAACACTGATGCTGATTACGCTTCAACTGATATTGTTTTTGTTGCTGGCGCAGATGTGCGGCTGTAGTGACCTAATAAAAGCGAATGCTGTAATCAGCAACAGCATTATTTAAACCGCTATTGCGTTGTACTTCGCCATCAAGGCTGCAAAAGTAGCGTGTGAATTCAAACACAACACTACAAGTCTTTAAAAGGAAGGGCGCAAGTGCCTGGCCGGCCAGCAAATATGCCAGTATGTGGGTTTACGTGATTGTGGAAGCCAAATAGAATTTAATTGGATATTCAACGAGCTGCGGCGGCTAGTTATGGTGTCACTGCCATTGACACTGCCGCCAGCGCAGCGACTAATGATGATGACAATTGCGCGCATGGTTGAGATTAATACGAATTTTACCGCAAAAATGCTGGCGGAGATGGAGTAAGCTTATCGTCTTGGCATCAACAGCATCAACAGCTCCAGCATATCAGCAGCGCTATTTAGATTTCGACGCTTTGCTATAGTGTTGCCTCAATTTTGGTGCCGCTTTGCTGACAAGCATGCATTTTCTTCCTTTGCTGAGGTGTTTTCTCCAAATTTATTGGCGTGGCAAATTGTTTGAGATTTGAGCCTAATCGTCGCTGCAATGAGTTTGTCGTGACGTTATTATCCTAAATTCGAGTGCTCAAATACAAAACCACGTCACAGCACACAATGGACCATGCGATAGAGGCCTATCGTCATCATCCACCAACGACCAGCTAAGTGCATCGCAGGTCTTTCGAATGCGTCCTGTCTTTATCACAGTGAAAGCGGCGGCAGCACCGGCGACAGCAGCTACTCGTGTTGCGTGGTTCGGCCTCATATGCGTGCCAACAATTGACGCTCAATTGGCCAAATACTGGCATAGCGTACTTATGCAGGTACTAGTTGCTGGTTGGCATTTTCTGCTGTGCATTGCGCCAGCACAGGCGTCGCATTAAAATGGTGCCAGCAGCGCTTGTGGCTGACACGTTTAGCTTGCGGTCAATATGGACGCATAATTGGTGGCGGCAGTGGGTAAAAATCACATAAACCAGGAGGGTATACGTATGTATGTCCGTTTGTATGTCACAAGGCCTGCACCCCACTTCCTTCCATGCTTGCTTACTGAGTGCACCAATGAGACGGCGGATAGACGGGGCACCTAACCATGTGAAAAGAATTTTGATCTCATCTCGTGGTTGGCCATTCGGCCCTTGGATATGCGATTGTCGGCTTGGCTTGGCTATCTTATGATATTCAAGCATTTTGTCGTCACCGTTGTTGTTGCTTCGCAGTATTGCTTGTCTCCAGCCGATATGTAGATATTAGCGAAATATTTACGCAAATTACCGCACAATTGCTTGTGGCTCAGTTTGCAGTTCTATTCTGATTGCTTGCTAGGTATTTTATATCTATGGTTACTCATTATTTTGCGCTGATTGTAGACTAATAAGACGTTATGTATGCAACTGCGTTGTGCGTTCCCACAGCGCGCAATATTTGCAATCGTAAAATTTTTTTTTGGCCATGCATGTATTTATAAAAAAATATTTGGCGCCCGTATTTTGTCGTTTCGCGGAGCTTCTTCTGCGATTTGTGATGTGCGTATTGATATTGTTACCAGCATTACCACAACGAATTTCAGTATTTTACCCAAATAACTAAACAAAAAGTTACCACAAACTCATTTTATTTGTGGAACTACTCTATCTACATATCGAGCCCTAACCACCAAAAAGATGTAAGTGACATTTTTTTTATTATTATATATTTTTTTTTTTATGCAGAAATGCATCTAGAGGATGCCCTAGGAACATTTCTGCATCAAAAAGAAAATTAAATAAATGCGACTTTTTGGCAATTACGAAATGTCTGGTTGGCTGACGAATAGCGTAAGGTGGGATATTGTAAACTTAGAAGCCTCTAGTAAACTTCTCTAGAGTTCAGCGCTCTCGAAAATAAAGCCTAAAGCAACAGCCAAAAATGTTCTCAGAAATTGAGACTTTCATACAGCACTTTAAGGTGCATTTATTAATTTGGACTTTGACCTTCATATGTGCATACTTATGTATGTTCATATGTACACATATCGCACGTTTAACTAAAAATTTACGTTTTTGCAGATTTCAGCATACAACTAATAAGCTTGATAAGGAAAGGAGAATTTGTTCAGTCTAACAGATAACTAAACTTCCCAAAAATGGCGGAGCTACATATGCCCATCTGCCTTTTTGTGTACCAACTGTATGAGTTTATCAAACTTCGTTTTTCTACAAACTGGAAATATTGAAATAATTCTCTATATTATTAAACGTGCGATATATTAGGTTCAGCTCACTTAGGGCCGTTAAATTATCTATTTTAAGTTAACGGCCCTTAACAACTAAAGGCAGCTTATCATTCACAGTATC